AGCAGGGCTGCTCTCTGTAGTGTCAAGAATAGGCTTTATATGTCCAGTGTCAGAGTGTAATCTTCCATAACTTCACACCTTCTATGGACCTTCAGCTAAGTACCCGGGCTTATCAAACATTGCTCTTTTTGGCGTTGTTTTCAACTTCTGTTTAGGATACAGTCACCTGCAGAGGATGTTGTAATGTCAAAAGCAAGGTCTCACAGTAGTGAGATGTACTCAGTGTAGAAATTATTCAGTTTTGAAGTCTAAGTCAGAAAAGGAAGAAGCTTTCAGTGTTGCTGTGGCTCGTAGGTGCATACATCATTATAGAAAGAATCTAACATATGGATGCTACCATATCTGAGATAGCAGTCTGTTTCATCAGACTGTTTCAACCTTTTTCTCCATATTTCCAGTAGTTTAGAGTGCCTCCATGGTTTTTAACTGCACGGCTGATGATTTATGAAATGTATGTCCTCATCAAAAGTACTCCTTGCTATCTTGACTCTTCCCTCTGAAGTCAAGGGTAGAACTTGTGGAAGGAGAAGGCTAATGCTGAGTGATTGGAAAATCCTATGACCTTATGCATGCGATGTCAATGAGAATAGCAGTGAACAGCAAAAAGCAAGATTCTCTACTAATGGTAAGAATTAATTCTTGCACTTTTTGTGGTTTTCTTCACATCTCTTTTGATGTCTTACAACATAAGAAATGATCCTAATAGCTACTTTTACAATACAAATGTACATGCAAAGAAAAATTCCACTTTCAGGGCCAGTCTCTTCTCCCTCTGCCTGCAAGTAAAGTGAAAGGTCAATTAAATCATATGCTAATACCTTTTTTGTTTGACTAAATGGAGTAATAGAATGCAGGCAGAATTTCAAAAGACACAATCCTTTAGCAGGCCATGGAAAGAGAACAAAGGAAAGCAACAGATAGAAAGGAAAGAACTCCAATGAGCTAACTTTGCTCTCCCTGTCTCTTCTGTGAAATTATTTTTAATTGCTTCATAGCTTGGCTTTCTCTGCAGCTGTGCTGTTACGTTTGGGCTCCTTTATTCTAAAAGCCTGTGGCATCTATACCAGAAACTGGCAGAACAGTCTTTAGTGCTGGAATTACATTTGTCCCCATCTATCTAAGTAAGCAATGCTATGTCACTACTGAAGTAATTGAGAGTTCTCAGAAGGCTCTTTAACACTCTGCCTTATCTGTTATACTACTTAAATCTTACACGGTCCTACCTAGACTTGGTATGTTGCCAGAGTGACAGATGTTTGAGCAACTGCTGTTTATTTTACTTAGTAATGGTCATTCATAGATTTTAGATCACTAATTATAGGAAACACTGTATGCCTTAGAAATGATACAACTATCACCATCATGTGTTGTGAGCATAATTGTCATTATGTTTCAGTATCTATAGCCTCCAAATAATTACCAATAACGAATCGAACAAGTAATAAATCAAATCCTTCATATCTAATTTATATTTGGATGCCATTACAAGATGAACCTGACCAATATCACTACACTGGCATCCTACCTGCTTTTTCCCATGTGTCCCATTTGGAATGCATGTGTAGGTCACGAGGAGTATCAGTGGCACCCCATAAGAAATTTCATCATATAACTCATGCCTTTCAGTATTTATGTCTCGATTACTGAGTCAACTGGTGTTTGTAAGGAAAGGAATATAAAAAATGTAAAAGAGATGACTTGTATTGTGCTGGTTATACTTTGGACTTACTTTCTTGGAAAATGAAGCTCTTTCTGTTGTATTTTGAAGGCAAAGGATTAAATTCATAGAATAATAATAAGCTTCACATTTTGAGTTTCTTGATATGTAACATACCAGTAAGCTACCAGTAAATAGTCAAGAGCCTGTTAAGAAGTTAATTAATTATATGGGAACTACTAAAGAGGAACACAAGGAATGTTAGATGAGAAGGTGAGTGCCGTCCTCTTTTATCATATTCAGGTGTCTACTAGTAGTCTGGTGCACTCCTTAAAATTGGAACAGACTATAAAAAAGAAATTTTAAAACTTTGAAACATTTCAAGTAAAAGCAAAAAAACCCCAACCTTTAAAACTCAGCGAAAACAACAGTTAACAAGTTACCAGGTCAGAAGAGGGAAAAGATCCAGTAAGCAGTTTAGGTAACACTTCCAAGTGTAATCAAAGTAGGAAAATGAAATAACTAATTTTGTTGCTGCCACTTAGTTCAATGACTGTTGTGAGATACAGAAAAAAAATACATGCATTCTCCACAGGCAGTTGAAAAAATGGTATTTTATTTTGCCATGAAGCTCTTATACTGTGTTAAAAGTTATGCCAGCTTAGACGGATGTAGCGATCTAGAGAAGTAGTCAAAGATTTTCAGCAAAATCAGTTTATCACAGTAGTTTTTTTAATAGATACTCTGAGTGTTTTGAGTATATATGCATGTGTAATACAGTTGCGGGTGAATACGTATATCTGTGTAGTTTGCTATAGTGTCTGGATTCACAACTTGAGCTACAGGTTTGCTTTTCCTCTGTTATGGCAGGTCACAGTTTGCTCCCTCAAGATGGTATCTTCAGGCAATTATAAAGTGGTTGCCAGATTTAGGCAACTGTAAAATGACTAAGAACTAGTGCACAGTGATAACATGAATAATAATAACCATATCAGTTAAGTTTTTCAGATTTTAACCTCTACTATGCAATTTGACAAATAAACAGCTACAATGCAGTGTTGCTGGTTCCCTTCTAAGGTTAGGGAAACCTGCTTCCTACAGCTGGCTTTTCATTCCTGTGAGAACAGGGCTAAGAATGCTGCAGGATGGATTCTGACTATGCAGCTTTATTTGCAATAACCCTCTAGGAAAGGAGACCATAGTGTCAGTGATGCGTCAGCATTTGCAAGAATAAAAGATTTTGAAATATTTAGTCTTGCTTGTAGAGCAGTCCTTCCTACTCCAGGCCAAGCCCCGAGAAAGCTCCAGTCCTGCATTTTCACATCAGGTTGTCTCATGTCAGTTCATGACTGCCCATATACACAAAGTTCTGAGTAGGTCGCTGGTTGTCTAGATACGACTGTCAGTGTCGATTATAGCCATCTTCTTTGTCTTTCCTGTTTCATATCATCTGGGGATTAGGAAGCTATCAGCTCTTTATTTATGGGAATTGTTTTTGACTCATGTTAAGCCATATATTGTTATGTTAGTAAGCACCATGTAAATGAATAGATAATAAACACTGTGCTGAGACTGTTTGGATACATGTTGCCAAAATGGTCCCTGCCAAACACAGGTAGTCATTAATTTTTCCTTCTCTTCCTTTTTTTAGGCCGATTTCCTGTAAAACTTTTCCATTTCCATTACAGATTTTTACTGGTTAGCATGTTTTGCTCATATATTCAATGTACGTTAACATGTTCACGTAAGAATAGGTCCTTGCTGATAATCAACAAGCTACCATATAAAAAAATAAACCAAATCCCCAGTATTGGACTATTTGTTTGCCTCTGAGGACCCCTTCTGATTTCTCTGACTTTGTTGCACCACTCAGTGCATGTTGGGGTAGCATCTTGCTTCTCCAACCCAAGAGCACCTGGCCAAGTCCCACCTGGTCCTTGTCACAGGTACTCTGGAGCAAATGATAAAGATCTCTGTAGACACTTGGTTTCCCTGTCTGTCATGCTCTAGCAATGGATATATTGCCCCTGATTACTCCTAGTCCCTCTTGGTCAAAAGCAAAAGCAAGACTGGCTCCTGAATTTGAGCTACTCATGTGGCACTTTAGAAAACTAGATTCTGATTTCTGTGTATGTTTTTGTGCGCAGTGTGGGAAACGCTCTTTTAATAAATCAGAAATATTGAATATGGTCACATAATTTCTGAGATTATTCTCTTGATATTGAAATGGAAATGCAGGATTGTTAATTTTCTTGGTCTAGAAATGTTCAATTCAATGTAATAAATGTGCTTCCTCTTTAACTAGTAGAATTAGTACTTGCAAGAAGACAGATTTACACTCATATGGTTTCAAAAGGGATGACATTTTTGGGGTAAGATTATTAAGCAGATGGTGTCTGTGGAGGGGCAAAAGACCTGAAGATCAAGTTTTCTTCAGATAAGCACCTAATTATTCAGATGCATTTATGAAGTTTAACTAAGTATAACAGGTAAAAAACTAGTGAGACCGTGTGCTTTTCCTAGGATTAGCACCTCCTAGATAATGCTTTTTAAGCAGCCAGAAGGGCAGATCTGCGTGACACATGTATCTTTTTATTTCAGAGCCCCCAGAGCAATTTTATTCTTTGACTTCAGAGGGAGCACCCGGTGCAGAACAGAGACATAATACTGCCTTTTTTTTTTTTTTTTTTTTAAATTACCCTAATTGGCTCTCATGTCCTTAGCAGGGATGTCATGTTTAGAAAAACTATCAGTCCCTCAGGACTGATTTCTCAATTACTACTTCAAAAAATTATATGTCTCAAGGGAGCCTCTAAAGCCATCTTCAACTGTCTTTTTCCTTCTAGTCTTATGTGTTTTGGTATTATGAATCCTACAACTCCCTAATGTATCATGTGAGGTTGCTGAAATGCATGCTCTTGCTGCAACTGAGATGTGAAGGAAGGGATACTTGTTTAGGGATTACTACTGCCCTTTGCTCAGATGTTCCAGCCATTTCAATGCAGGCTTTACATCCAGATTTTCTTGTTTATCTGGCAGTTCATTATTTAAGGCCAGCCTGTCAAAATAGGTTAAATATTCTTTGGGAAACATGGTCACATCTTTGAGACACCACAAATATGTTTAATACAAAAAGATTGGCTTGATAAAAGAAACTTGATAAACTTGCATCCCCCAAAATTCTTTTCTGCTGTTCCATGTAGATTTCTAAGAGCATCAGTACACAATGACAAGTCTTATGGCAATAAATTCCTGGAAAAGGCACAGAGAGACACCAGCAAAACGGTGAAAATGATTGCTGATGATTTTTTCTAACTACTTGACCTTGTGACATCTCCCCCAGATATATGACCAAGACGGGACACTGCAGCACTTTATTGATGGTGGAGAACCCAGTAAGTCAAGCTGGATGAGGTATATCCGATGCGCAAGGCACTGCGGGGAACAGAACTTAACAGTGGTTCAGTACAGGTAAAGTATCTTTCGATTTACTCGATGCAAAAAAATTAAAATGTTTTTAGTGAAAAGCCAGACTCTGTCACCAGTACTATTGTCTTTGATTGCAAAGACTTTTGTGAATGTGGTTATTCAGCTCTACACAAAATCTGCTGGGTGTAGTGAGGATGGGCTTAACTTTGGATGCCCTGAGCTGAGGCCATTGCAGTGAGCATGAGAGACCTCCAGGTCCAGGTGCCCCTGGGAACAAGTACAGCCCTGTGTCACTGGTGTGACCACCACACTGCACAGAGCCCTCTGCACGTTTTTGAACGGTCTGATTAGAAGCAAGCCAAAGCAAGCGATCTGCCGCCCTTAATAGCGACGTGTGTGCTGGAGGAAAGGGAAAAATGGCAGGTCAGGCATTTTGAACCCAAAGGCTTTCTGAGAGTCAGTTATGAGACATAACATATACACCTAAAGCTTATATGTTGAGTGCACCTGCTGGCCAAGATCGCTAGGGCTTGTGCCTCTTAAGTGGCTGGCTAGCGAAGGTCAAATGTGAAGAAAAATGTAAAGAAATTATGGTGCATTTTACTTTGTACTCACAAACAGATCCAGAAAACCTAGACAACGCATTACATAAATACATGATCTCAGCTATAAACAAACCTTTTGCCTCAGAATCAGAAGCAACTGCTTGGCCTTATTAAACGTGGTAGGAAGCACATCAAAGAAAGCCCTGGGCTTGCCAGTCGCAGTAAGCAGTCCTGATTTTGGCTAGTTGTTTTAGAGAGTGGAGTTTCTTTTCTTTAGGAAGAATCTTAAACTTATTTAAAGCTCATTTCAAATTAAAAATAAAACATACAAAAGCAAGCTAAAATGAAATATTTATAAAGTTTGATTATCCCATAGGGTTCCAATTTAACAATGGTAAAATTGTTCAATTGCATTTTCAGCTTTTTTATTCTCTGGCCAGTTGACTAAATAATGCTGCAGTTAAAAAAAAAAAAATCCTATTTATACATACAAATCTTTTATTATGCCCTTAAATAACTGATATTTATAGCTAAAATCCTGTCAGATTTTAAATAAACACGGTGGATAATGAATAAAAATTGCTATGGTGAAAGAGTATTTTTGCAGGTATCTTGTGAATTATTTCTCAGTGTGGTGGTGTGTGCACATGAATATATATAAATTTATAAAAATAAGAAAAAAATATGCATGCATATATATATATATATATGACAAACCTAAATGAAAAGTGAGCATGAGAAAGTCATTACACATCTGTCAATATTAAGTGGATTTTACAACTCTCCTTTCATGATGGAGTTTTTACTTAGAGTTCCCTCTGTTGATCTGTTTTCGATTACTTCAGATCTTTATAAAATGAACTACAAAAACACAATTTAAAAAACTGGCATCCATCACCAGTGACTGCATCCAAGTGTAAGAAAATAGAAAAGTTGGACACTGAAAAACCGGCCTAATTTTTATTGTACATGGACGTCCTCCTCACAGAAAGTCAGCTGGTTTAAATTCGTTCTGTTATGATTTGTAATATCTAAATGGAATTTTCTTCAAAGTGCTCTTGATTGATTGACCCTTAGCTGAACGTTTTGTTTTTATTTTGAGGCTGACAATAATGTTTGTTGGCATGTGTTCTGCTTCAACTGCGTTGGGACGCCATGAAGCTATCTTTATGAGTCATCCAACCATAATACTAAATACATGTCAGCAAAGGAAATATTATCCGAAAAGGGAAAAATCCCTTTGATGTACTTCAGCATGCAGAGATTTCTGCGAGTTTTGGAAGCTCTGCACGCTTGTAAGGGACGGTGTACGCTTACACTTTTTTTTCCGTGCCTACTCCAAGCCTCACAGACCACCCATTGCTCAAAAACAGTTCTGCTCTTTCAGCGGCAAAGTGTGTCATTTGGTTTTAGCACATTCATTTGCCGGGCTGCTGTGTTTATGTTAAGGGAAGCCAAACTGAGAGATGAAATGTTACAAGGGTGAAGTACAAAGTAGACTCAATTTTTCTCAAGTTAGGAGATGCTGGTAATTTATAGCGTGGCTCCGATTTTCATTTTTATGTAACAGTGGAAAGAATTAACGAAATGCGCAGCTCTGGGAAGAAAGAGAGGGAGAAGAGGAGAGGAGGAGGAGGAGAGGGGGAGACACAAAGGGGAGAGTTTTTGTCAGATATTCATAGAAGGGTAGGAAAACCGTTCTGCTTAGCTAGCAGTGCCCTCCTGAGACAGGGTGGCAGTAAGCGAGGAAAATAACAAGATAAATGAAATTTTTGCAGCTGCTAGTAAAATATTGAGAATCTGCACTTTTTTATTGATCTTTATGATCCTGTTGCCAAGAGCCACTTTGCGGTGACAAAATATGTTGACAAGTGCATATCTCACTGCCATGAAAAATGTGGTAAAGGATTCTCCTTATGTCTGCAGTGTTATACAAGGAACAAATTGCATCGCTACAGCCAATTCTTTACAGAAAGTCTAAATTTAAGGCCTACCAACCCTAAACACTTTTATCTTGAACTGCAGGCTAACGTTTGTGGCAATTCTTCACTCAGAAAACCGGTTGAGGCCTAACATATTTTTTTTTTGGTCTATGGATGTTTTTCTGCCTTACATAAGCTGTTATAAAAAATGGTCATTTCTTGGTACTTTGACTGTATCATTTTGGTATGTAATCCTTCAGCGAGAGTGGAGTGTTCTTCTTGTATATATTGAATTTCTATCCATCTCACAGGAGTGTGTTTTACTGTTCCATATGAAGCCTGAGGGAAAAGCCACTACAAACTGATAACATTTTTATTTTATCTTGTGCCTGATTCTAATCTTACACAGTTTTTGCCCCCATGTAAATCTGTTAACTGTAGAAGTATCACTCTGAAGCTATTTACATCAGTGCAAGATAGGGATAAAGCTCTTGTTTTTATGGTAGGGACTAGTTTGTTTTTTTTTTTTTTTTTTTGTTGTTAATTTGGGAGGGGCTAGTTTTTTTTTTTTTTTTTTTTCCCTCAACTCCCAGTTCAGTGGTCTAGGAAAATCCACAGTCTTTTCCCACAGAGCGATGTCATAAGATACCACATTTACGGTATCACTAATTTATTCTTGCTGAAGGATTACCGACATTACCCTCATGTTCCATACAGAGGAAGATTTTTGTCGTCGTATGTTTGGTTTAACCTCATTTCTTTATTTCCCTGTCTATTTTACTCAACAATCTAAGATCTCTCTTTTTGGTGGTATATTGCTGTCATGAAAGGCCACATCTTGCTACTTCAAACCTCTTGCTAAAAGCACTTATTCAAATGAAAGAAATGTTGTCTATTTTGCCCTAAAATATGTTAACTTTAGCTTAGTTGACAAATGCAAAGCTGTTTAAATGGCTGAACTTACTGAACTGTGCGCACACTCTGATGCTTGCACCACTGTGTTAGCAAAATGCAGCATTTCTAAAATCACTTTAAAAGGCACATTGCAAGAAAACGTCTTTTCATAAAATCTTGGTGCTTGTAAAATCTTCTTGTTTAAAATATGCTAGGTACAAAGTGACTGTAAGCTCTTAATTACCCTATGCGACAGGAACAGAGTCTTTCCCTGATGATAGATTTGGTTTTAAAATAATCAGTAAGTTATTCATTTAGCTATCTGCAGAAATGAGTCCAAAACAATGGACTTCTACTGCAATACTGTGTATGATAGGAAGACAATGCTCTATTCCTCAATTAGCCATTTTTTTCTTTTTCTCTTGATCAGGTCAAATATATTCTACCGGGCTTGCATAGATATCCCCAGGGGCACTGAGCTGTTGGTGTGGTACAATGACAGCTACACATCTTTCTTTGGAATCCCTCTCCAGTGCATTGCACAAGATGAAAATTGTAAGTTCTTCTTTGCTTTTCTACCTGTGTAAGCCAGAATTCCTGTTTCATACCTAATCAGCTATATTCCCAGAGTATCTTAGGACATATTGAATGAAAGCAGTTATATATTATAGGTAAGCTTGATGTGTGCAAAATAAAACCCTGAAGCTGCTACACTTAAGCTGTGCAAAATCATGGTATGATTACCTAAATAAATGGAGGTGTTTGGGAGTGCGCAGGTGCGTGCAATTAAATAGCAGATTTCCCACCATTGCAGCCACATAGCATGGTAGTGTGTAGAATCACTATTGCTTATAAGTGATTCATTCCTAGTCTATTCTTAACTGATTTGCTTGGCCCTCTCCGTTGTTATCAGACCTATCACAAGAGACTGTCCTGCCAAAACAGTAATGCATTGCAGGTCCACGAGACCTCTGTTAGTGATTCTTCATTCTATTACCACTGGGTATGTCAAGAAAAGCTCTGTCTGACTGATTGTAGAGATGAGATCCTTGTGGTTAAAAGGTAAAAGCCAGCTTCTCTAAATACAGACTGAGTGTAAGTAGCCTGAAATGACCATGAACTTCCATTCCATCCTGGCCATCCCCATTTCCATCAATTCTTCTACCCCTTCTCAATATTTTATTTTTAGTTCACTAGGAATTGTCAAAAAATTAAGTGTGTAACTTATAACACAGACCCAGTGCAACCTAACGCTGGATACATTTGGCTGTAATGGGAAAGGGTGATGCAAGCACGCCCTCCAGTTGCACTGTTTGTGTGTGAAACTTGATTAGAGCTTGCATCAAAGACCTCTCTTCCATTTTGACAGCTATTTGTGTCTACATGGTGGAAGAAACCAACAGTGGATGCCTGATTGGCTTTAGTTTAAAGTAACGCTCTGGCTGGCCATGCTTACTCAATTACATACAAGATGTATTTTTTTAGCCTAGTACTTGGATACTTAAACTGCAATGCTAGGATGAACTCGTGTCTCGTAGCAACTTAAATACTGAACCATGCAGCAATAAAACAGCAAGATAGCAGGGATTAAACTGTCGAAAATAAACATCCTTTTTCATCTTGAGTTTTCAAATCTGTTGGGCTTGAGAAAAGTTTAAAAGAAATTTAATTACTGGCAGTAATGTTTGCTGATAAAACTCATGCTCTGCAGTGTACAATATAGAAATATTATTTTTTCTTTCATGAGCTGAAGCTTACAAAACCTTTATTTGAAAAGCAAAGTATTATGGTTAAAATCTCTAAATATTGTCTTGCTATTTTGCTGTGAGGGAAACCAGAGTTTCATCCACAGTCAGACTGACGTGAGTAGATGAAATTAATCTCTGAGCATGAAGCCAGCTGCAGGCTGGTATATGACTTTAGTGCCACTTAAGCCCTCAGAGTAGACCTTCTGCTTATCTTCTGCACAGGGTATTTTTACCCAATACACACTCTGCCTATATTCCTTAGATCTTTAATATCCAGATCTTGTTGCTTCTATGGACTTCAATGAATACAATTTAAAAAAAAAAAAAAAGTGATCTTCTTCTTGTGTGAGAATGTTGGGGGAAAATGAAGGTATACAAATTGCTCCTTGTATTGAAGAGAAACATTGAAGATGTATTATATGTCTGAAAACTTGTGATAGACAGCCCCATGGCTGTATATCCACTTAGAAATCAGGTCCAGAAATACTCCAGAAAAGAATAGCTGAGGAAGGACATCAACTCAAGTAAATTAAACATCATGTAGTATTATAATATTGGAGTTATTATGATTAATGGAAGATATTAGAACATAATGCTGTGAAGTGACTGGCATTATTTAAAGTATTATCAAAACATTAGTTTTTATTACATTTTTATTGTATATTAAATAATGTTGGATGATTCCAGCTCAGAACTGACATTTATTTCACATTTTCTCTTAGAAATCTATCATCATGACTTACCTAAACAGAGTTGCAGTTTCTAATTACCTGTTTACTAGGTGCTATGTACCTACGTGTGGATATATACATATACAACTTTGTGACAGTAACTAAATGTGTGAACACATGTAGACATAGACATATGCATACAAATTAAATACAAAATATTTAATTTAAAAATCTCCATTAAAATATTATCTCATGAGCTTGACCATGCCAAAATTAGAAAGCGTGAGAAGGTGCTGGGCCCAGGTGGCCTAAATGATGCTGCTTTTTGTATTGGGGTACGATCTTACATTAGCTCACCCTGTTTTTCCATAGGACCCTTGCTTCATTCACTACATGATCTAGATGGTACTCAAGGAGTGAGGCAGCTGTTCAACTTTCTTCTATATGTTTGACCTCCTGCCTTCCTTATCACTCATCATCCAAATTCAGCACTAAATTACTTATTTGTGAGAACGGTGTATTGCATTTGTTGCTGAAATATCTGAGTGCCTCATAAGCCATAGTTAATTGATGATCATAAGACCTTCATGGGACTAGAAACAACTTTTGTTTCTATTTTGCAGGTGGGAAATTGATGCACAAAGATATCTATGCCTATATATTGCATTGTCTCAAGGGGATCCAATTGCTATTAGCCTTAATCATACAAGTCGTGGTGAAGTCACTGACTATATTGTATTGACTGTGTGACTATTTCTGGGATGTAATAGTATAATAACCTTAGTGGCTGCCCTTTAAGAAGATAAGGGAACTATTGCTGCCGTAGATATTTAAGCCCTGTTGTATCTCAAGGAGTGTCTGAGCAAGGATTTTTTTTCCCCGTGCTCTCAAAATTCATGCTTGTCTGTGATATAGCAATTGGACATGCTGACTGCAACATGCAGAGTCAGGGTATCATACGTGCAGCAGCATTTTCTATCAGATGACAATCTCATTGTGCAATAAACGTATATCACAGTCAGGCTTCTCTGCGTCCTTTCAGTCTCAGACACTCCTTCGCATGAGTTTTCATTTCAGTGTCACAGAATCAGCATCATCCATCCAGATCACTGTCTCATTCAAGCCCATTTTTTTGTGCATTGTTAAAATAAAGTTGTTTAATTCTAGTGTCAAGAAAATTGATGTTGGTTTTTTTTTTTTTGGTGTTTCCCAACACTGTATTAGTTTTAAAAAGGCATAAAAAGGATCTTATTTACTTTTCTTGTTTTCTCCCAGTGAATGTCCCTTCGACTGTAATGGAGGCCATGTCCAGACAAGACACCCTACAGCCATTTAATAAAAGTAGCAAACTATCCCCTGCCACTCCACAGCGATCCATAGTATTTCCACAGACTCCGTGTAGCAGAAATTTTTCTCTCCTGGATAAGTCTGGGTCCATCGAGTCAGGATTTAACCAGATCAGTGTCAAAAACCAACGAGTTCTTGCAAGCCCAACTTCAACAAGCCAACTAAATTCTGAGTTCAGTGACTGGCATCTTTGGAAATGTGGGCAGTGCTTTAAGACTTTCACCCAGCGGATCCTCTTACAGATGCATGTGTGTACGCAGAACCCTGACAGGTAAAGCCCAGGCTCTCTTTATTTCTGTATCTACTGATAGCCAGATCCACCGCTTTCTTCTTTTATCAAGCTGTTATCATTTCCAAAACCAAACCATTATTAGGAGGAGCCTGTACAACATAATTCATCTGCAGCTGTGTGAAGTAAGCTGATAAAAACCATTGCTTGACTTCACTATTTGTAAAAACATTTGGTGCCTAAATGTGCAGATAAAAGGAAATAGCTAAGGATATAATCTTGTTTTCAGAATGGTTTGGTACATCTGATGGAGGCAACAAAATAGAAGGAAAATTTATGAATATCATAGATGGAAAAATGAGGTCAAGATAATTAAAAGTCTCTCTGTCTTCCAAAGATAATCTAACTTGCTGCTCAGTGGCTGTCACAGTCATTTCAGGGTTCACCTATAGTGTGCAATGTGTATGAACTTAATTAAGTACTAAGAGGTAATGAATTGGAATTTTTTGCTTAGTACTATTTTTCTTCAGAGCATGCAAACCCATAAATCGTGCAAAGCTGTCAAAAGGAAATACCTACTCCACTAGTGATGTTGAGGAAAACAGATGCCACTTATTCAATAAACTAATATCCATACAGAAGAAAAATGTTGACTAGATACCTCAGAGTCAAAGTTGGTTTGAAAGTTTGTCAATACAGAATTTTATGGCCGTGAACTGAGGATGAAATTTAGCTGAACAAGTGAATTAAAATTTCAGGTACTCTGACCGGTGGCACAGTAAATATAATGGAACCATTATTTATGAATCAAAGCTGGTTTATTTGACAATTTTGATAGCTGGCAGGACAAAAGACAAAAATCAAATTAATTCAATAAAAAAGGTGCCCATGTTGTGTCTCTTCTTCAGCTGTGAAGAAGGTTTGAGCAGAACAGCTGAATCCGTGGGAGCTGGTTCTAAAAGCAGCATTTAATTGTGAATTACATTTAACCATAAACACTCCAAAAAATAGTCAACAGTGAGTCTGTGCGTGTGTTTGTATGCATGTCTGTGTCTCTTTGTGTACGTGGTTATCTACGTGTACACATACGCTTGTGTGATTCTGTGGGTGTGGAGATACTGGAGCATAAATCCAGTTTTCCAGGAAGAAATGTCAAGCATGCTAAGGGCAAACTAGATTCCATGCAAATCTTCATAGAATTTGAAGAGTTGATAATATTGTGAATGCAAACAATCCCTTTCAACATTTTCTGAATTTTATGCTGGCCTAGCAGAAACAAACAGCTAAGGAAGCTGTAGGACGCAACTGCCAATTTAACTGCTGCAATGTAGAATATAGGTCCCAAAAGGTCCAGTCTCCTAAGTTTCATGGTCTGTCATGTTTCCAGTATTAAAGCATCATAAGCATACTGTAAAGCATAAAACGCTGCGTCAGGGAGTCCAGAAAAGGCTCCCCCACATACTTTTTCAGTGATTTATCCAACCAGGTGTGATGCTTAGATTTCATCCTTTCCTTCACTTGAACCTGTGTCTTCCTTTATGAAGAGTCAAGTTGCAGATAGTAGTTAATGCAAGACGAGTCTCTCCTAATGGGGCTGTTCTGCAGTCTAAGGGATAATTAAATACTCATTTTGTCAGAGAAAGAAAATGAGGATAAGTCTATCCTACAATTAGGTCTGACATCTTGGAGGTGAGAGATTTAATTTTTTATTTTTATTTATTTTCTCCTAAGCATCTTGTGTCAAATATTGCCTGAAACACAAGCTGGATTTTAAGTATTCCCTCTTAGAGGTGAACATCCTCATTAGTAGGTTACTGAATCATGACATCTTACTGTTTTGCCTCCTGTACCTACCTGATTTGTCCACATAGAACAGCTTCAACAAAAAAGCGTAGAGCATTTTTAGCTCAGAATACCCTATAGCATAGTAAGAAGATTATCTAGATCAGAAGACAAGTTGGCTCCCCCAGGAGCAAAGAGAGCAAAGGGTGACTAGAGAAAGGAGTCAGCAGGTTTAGGGAGGACTGGGGTGGAGAGGAGCTAAGGAAAGACTCAAGTTGTAAGTGTTGAAACCCAGAGGCTTTCAGGAAGATTCAAAACATAATAGCTAACGCCTTATTCTCAATATTGATACTGGCTAATTTAGCTGATTTCCTCTTTGGCTGGTTGGGTTTTGTGAATCCTGTTCTTAAGAACCTTTTTCTCTTGTGTTATATAAAGATCATAAAACCCAAATGAGGTTGCAAGATATATTTAGCATCAATCTGTTGCATAAATACTAGGTACTGCAGTGCTCTGTTCTGTGACCTGTGTTCCCTGTGTACTGAAAAATGGCTCGCATCTCTAGGTTTTCGTTAAATAAATGGTGTAAACTCCTTGCAGAGGCCAGTTTTGTAATACCTTCTTTGTTCCTGAGAGGTGTGCCATCAACATAGCTGCTGTAAAAGCATTTCCCAATAGGTCTTCTTTGGAGTGTTGTGTGGGATGTCAGTTCCATGACTCTGTTTAAGCTCACTGCAGTTCATTCAGTGTTTGAAATGAGCAGACTAATAGTTACTGCAGCTCATAACTGCAGTTATGTGTTCTCATATGCCCAGTTAGAAATAAATACAGGTTGAGCTTACACCACAGACAGCTTTTTGTCTCTTAGCAGGTACCTGTAGATCAGTTATTTAGTGATACAGTGGCTGGAAAAGAGTTGTCTCTGGTTTCTTAAACATATTGCATTTCTCCAGATGAAAAATTCCTAAAGTGTTGTACAAAATTTGCTGGAGACAAGAAAATAAGGTATGATTTGCGAAAGAATACCTGCCTGCCAGCCTGAAGTACTGGGTGCAACTCTCTGGTTTGTATTTTCTCAACAATATCTGCAACACTGCTCCGGCTGATAAACAGCTCCCCATTTATTGTCAGCAATTTGTGAGCACACCAGCCACTATATCTTTGATGTGACTGAAGCAGCAGGGGCTGTCTTCTCTAGGAAATGACTTTAGACTATCTATTCTGGCTTTGTATTTGTTTTTCAACAGTTCTGATTACCTACAGCGTGAGGTGCAGGGAAAACATCTTTGAATCTACACACGAGTCTAATTTATGGACCAAAATTTAAGAAAAGCAGACTACTTGGGGCTTGAGAAACTAAAAAAACTAAATTACTTTAAAGCCACTTAGATTCAGAAGACATCTGAATGAGAGCTGACATTTAAAAAGGCCAAAATATACTTAATTCTGCTAGTCAGTAAGAGATAAATGGCCCTATTTGACAGGCAGATCATTTAATAAATAAAAATAATTTTTAAAATGATAAATCCAAAATAGGGAGAGTTATTAAAATAATCTACCGTGTCTGTTGTTTAGATCGAGATTAGGATTTTAATTTAAATTAAAATTAACTTTAAATTACTTACTGTTTTACTCTAATTTACTTCTCCCTTTCCACCAAGATATTTTTGGCTTGTTATGCTTTGTAGGGCTTCTCTTGAAACTTAATGGTAATTGAGGTTGGAGCGGAGGTGGGAGGTGAAGATTTAAATTCATCAAGATTTCAAATCTGGGACTTTTTGAGCCTCTGGGACTTTTTTTTATGCCTTGCTCAGAGAGAAGCAGTTTGAGCAACTATTTCTTGAAGCATACATGAGAAATCTATTTTCTCTTCAGTTTTTCTTTTAATTTTGTTTTTTCCTCCTATCTGGGGGTGTGGTGTATGTGTGTCCATAAAGGGTAACCAAAAGCCTTGGATCACAATGAATCATTTTTAGAGAAAGATTTTTATTTTTTTTTTTTAACAGTACCCACTATTCTGATAATGATGCAGTCTCTTTTAATGACATCTTTCTTCTTTCTCACTATGATCACCAAATTCAGGATGTATTGGTGTTGAGGGAAGGCAGATGGCTGCAGTTCCCAAGAGCTGTCTGTGGCACATTTTTATATAAAATATGTACATCTGTGTGATATATAGTCTCATTGTTTGCTATGTATTTAAACTGATAATTTGAGAGAAAACCCACTCTATATGTGTGTCCATGGCTGATAGATTGTGGATATTATCTGGCCCTTACAATTCTTGTTTAATCAAGATGTATTATTGTACTCATGTTTTGCTGTAGCACCTTAATATTACATAGTGAGTTGTTTTTAAAAACAGGACCTTGAAGATTGAAGTTGCCAATTTAATAGCTCCTTTTCTCCAAGATCATGGCTCAGACCATTTTATGTTATCCTTTTTCTTTACGGGTTCTGTGTCTTTGACCTTGATGTTCTCCCCATGTCCATTAATTAATTTAAACATCTCCCAAAACAGACCTAAACAAAGCAAATGGTGTGAGCAAGAGTTGTCTGTTTCTGTTTATAGAGTGGCTATGGGATATTGCTGAATTAAAGTAAACATCATGCTGAGTTGAACGCTTGGTCTTGCATAATCTTTTCACAAAGGTTTTCAAACTCCCAGTGCTCATAGTTAATAACAACAAAGGGTGCACAGAGCAGCACCTCTCCCTGACAGCTTCAGAAGTTTGAAAATGCTTCAAGTGTGCTGTCTGCTTTTGCTACTTCCTCCACAAACATTTGTAAGAGACAATCCCAGAACTCCCAGTGGGTCCAGCTCTGCCATCGCCAGTGCTGCATTGTGCCGGGAGCGCTCGGGGCAGTAACCGTGCTGCCTAAGGGGAGTGCCGAGGCAACAGGGGATGCAGAATCCAGCCGTACTGAATGTAAGCCACCCGTGACCACACTGATGCTAGGGTTGCTTCTCTGTGCAGCCTAGCAGTATGTCTAGCTGTCACTTTGTTCTCCAGCCTCTTTGTTCCACTTGCTGGAAGAAGACATCCCACCAAAACACCTTTCCATCAGGACAACTGTGACCTAACTCCTGTGACTGCAGCTGTGCTCTTAATGCCATGTGTCGTATGAAGGCCTGGCCCTGAAAGCTGATGCTGTCCCCATTTCAATGTGCCCTGTTTTCACTTTTTTTTTTGCAGAGGCTGTGGTGTGACAGCCTTCCCCCTATCATGCCGTGAAACCCTGCCCTGCGTTCAATGGAGCCCTGCGTCTCACGCTTTGAGTCCCTGACATCAGTCAAGTTGGTTTTTTACTTCTTCTTAGTTCTCAACAAGGAGAAAAGCATTTTCAACTGCAAGTCAGTCTCTCTTCCTTCAGCTGGTGCTTTTCTAGCTTTTTCTAGGGGAAAAAATTGACAGCAATGTGCTATTTTGTCTCTCTGATGTCACGGTGTTTCAATGATAGAGTTAGCAGTATTCAGAAGCTCACCATCACAAGCAATTCCTCTTCTAAGGATTGCATTGAGATTGCACATGCCCCTTGGAAACAGTAAATTCACTTCCAAGGAGGCCTCACTAGAAACCTGTTCATCATAAAGGAAAGAATTTGAAAATTCGGTGGAAAATAATTATAAGGTTTTTCAGGATTCTAATAATTCAGAGCATGAATTATTTACTATGTAGAAAATAAGTTCATATGGATATACCTAGAAGTCAGGGGTTAGAAAGTATATTGTTCTAGCAAAGGAATAGTACAAGATAAGTAATTAAAGGGCATGTCACTTTTGCTAAATGAAAATCTAAAAAGAATTAATCTAACTGTGCAGCTGTCTGTCAGCAGCTGCTCCAGATGTAAAGATATGGATTTTTCTATTGTTATCCCTTAACATGCTTTGTGCATGCTAAGGGAGCCATCCTCTGCACAAAGCATGCGCTTTGGTGACGATCAATAAGCCTCACAGGGGAACACAGGTTTTTTACTGGTCCTATATATGATGTAGTTTCACCCAGAAAAAATCAGCTACAAAAGTGAGAAAACTGTAAGACGGGAAAAGACATTATCAAACAGGAAAATCATTCAAGAGATCATCTAAATTAGGGAGCGAAAAGTATTCTTGACTGGTTTCATTTTGAAAATGTAACTTGAAAAACTTGGAAAAGCTCAAAATCTAAATAACTACAAAACCTGCAATCTATTACATTGCAGTTACTCCTTTCTGAATTCCACTTTAAATGGCCTATGTTCCTATAGTGGGCCACCATACAGTCAGGGACTGTAAGATTACAGTCTCTAGAAAAAGCTGGTGGCTTCTACATGTTAGTAAAGCCAGGTAGCTTATTGATGGCACATGGGGTTAACGACAACAGTGTAATTTTTCTAACGGGAGAATTTGTTTCTAGGTAAGTAGATTTCCTTCCTTTAAGCTCAGACAGGAAAACAGAGAACTAGCAAAATATGTAGGTAGGTGTTTAATGAAAAACATTAGAAGTGCTTTTGATGGCTGTCAGCACATCATTCTCATCTACACATTGCTATACATCAGTTTAGCTGTTCTTAAATGTAACTTAAAAATACTGTATAAGAAGATTTTGATCAGACTTGATTTACATCTGGAAGGGCCTACAAGGCCCTTTGTAGAGAAAATGCAATGATGAGGACATTCAAAACCATGCTGTTTCTGGTACAGAATAGCTGGAGAGCAAATGTTTATAGGAAAGAAAATTTCTCCAGACAGCATGTACTTTGAGGTTCTGGTACACCTGTTTTGTCAAACTGATTACTTTTATGCTTGCAAATCTGCCTGTACATCTGCAAAGGAATATTTCAGTTATGTAGGCTTTCACATATGAAGTGACGGACATTCATTTTGTTTGAACATTAATTTTCCGGAGCATCAACACAGATCTGGGCTGTAACACAGCTATGCTTTTATTCACATGAATACCTTGAAGCTCAAGAAGGTACCTTATGTCCTCGGTTATTCTGGTGGAAATTAGTTTTTTCTGGGCTGGGACTGCATTCAGTCTAGCAGCACATCTTTGAAAATACAGCTTATGAAGACCACTGGGTTTGTTACTATGTCCCTGGTCCTTCTGTCTGCAAACCTCTGCTATAAAAAGGTCACCATCTTAATTCATTGTCCCAGTGCAGACCAAAGTGATGGCAGAAGACATAAGTGCTACATCAAAGACAGCCCTGCTCTGCCTGTGTCAATGTACTCACTGAACCGAGCATTGCTCATGTTTGTTCCTTCTGCACCACTTTTATTTTTTAAAAAAACAACATATTGATTTTATTTTCTGCCAAGAAAAAATTCTGAGCACAGTAAAATGGTTACCAGAGAACAAAATGATAACTTTTATACTTATTGAATGACTTTTTTTCCTCTTGGAAAAAATGTTAGTGTCCAAAAGTTGTCAAAATTTTGCATATTTGAATTAGCGATTGTGAAAATTAGATATAGCATTTTAAAATTATTCTAGTGTTTCAAAGTATTTATAGGCTCTCTTTTTAAAATTAGCTTTGTTTAATGTGTGCTATGTATGTAGCTTGAAAAAATTACTTGTTCTTCCCATTTTAGTATTAATCAGAATTGCCTGTGTATAAACTGCGGAAATGCATCCCCTGCAAAGGAAAGGTAACTTCTTTAACAGTTGTTCTCCCAAGATATGGATGAATGCTAAAAATAAAATCAAAGTGATCTAACAATAGGTGATTTTTTACAGGGATCTTTTTCTTGTGCATCAGCATGTGAAATGTATTCTGAGTTCATATATTAATATCCTTTGTAAGCAAGAAATTTGTTTTGAGCCAATGTAGGGGGTAAAAACGTTTTACTTGGCATCACAACGTTCAGTTATAACTGGTTTGGAATTTTGACTATTTATAGACAAGTTACGGTGTGACTTTTCACAGTATGAAATTAATCACATTGACTGTTAAAAAAATAAAAGATTAATTGGTTTTATGTAGTGTTGTATCATTTATTGTGGTAGCTGTTAAAAATAGATAACCAGAGGCTAATAGATGTTAATGGTCCCTTTCACTATTAAAAAAATCAATGTTTCTTGGATACAGAATATCTTAATGTGTTCTTTTTGCTTAAAAGTGTTTGATTTGAAAATAAATAAACATATAAGTCTGCATTCACAAATCATCTTTGTTTTACCACCACTTGAATTTTCATGTCAAGTTTGATAAATACTTTCTGTGCAAATTAACCATGCACTTCAAAAAGGGAGAAGACCAGGCATGTTACTACTCGTCTTCCAATATAAGAAACAGATATTCGGTACTTATTTTTTTCTTAAAATAATATTTTACATATATTCATGTACTTTTTTAAGGGACATATCATATAGATTAAGTAACCTTTCCACAGCTTTAATATATCTCTTTCAAACTTGTTGGAGAGCAGTTAGATTTTCAAATGTAAGTAATTAAAATTGTAAGCTATTGAGTTATTGACCAATACTGAGCTATTAATCAAGCTAAAAAATTCTACAATCAGGGTTCAGCGCTCTGAAGCACTGTAAAATAATAGTATTTGTGTTCAGTGATGCAAGTAGCCACAATTAAGCAGTTCACTTGACAAATGAGATAGTTCACTTTATTTTGCACTTAATTGAATTGTACGTGCTTGGTCACCATTGTCTCCTTCCCTTTAGTTTCAGTTTCTAGCCATTTAAACATGCATGTGTATTAAAGAGAGGGCAATTAAGTTGGTGTTGACCATTTGCTCTGGAAATGCAGACATCAAGAGCTGTGCCTTAAAATGTTATGCAGGGTAAAAATTGTTAATACCTCTCTAGAAAAATTCTTACTTTTCTTAAAAAAAATCTGATGAGCATATAGGACTCTGTCACTAACTTAAATCAAATGTGAAAAGAAAAAGAAACCTTGTAGGATGTTGATATTAAATCACTTTTACCAAACAACAATATATAGACATTGTTTCTTCACATTTTATTTTAGATAGCAGTGGTATTTGAATTTCAGCAGTCCTGTCTCATCTTGCTGTCTTGCATCCTTTTCTTTTCATGTTTGCAGTCTGTTATGATTCTGAATTTGTAACATCTCAGTAGTTTTGTTTGTTTGTTATGTTTGTTTTTAACAAACTGTGGTGTTGGGTTTCATTTCAAGATCAGAAAAAGGCATTTTCCATCTGAATGGGAGAAATGTGTTAATTAAATGCAAATATTTTGGATAGCAATAAGAAAATAGAAAGGTAATTGTAACATCGTGGTTATTTTTTCCAATGTCTCTCATTGAAAAAGGTGATCTCAAAAAACCTAGGTTCCTCCAAAACAACATGAATAATTTGTTTGCAAACAATCACAGAATCCTCCTGAGATACAGGTGTAACAATCAAACATGCGTTAGTAGGCGAGATTGTAGCTGGCACCAGCAGAGGATTTTGTCAGTCTCTTAGCTCTGATGTATGAGGAGTGTTTTGTGGCTGAGGAGTACCATGCTGAGTTTGGGAGAAATAAGGCAGGCATAGGATGTGTAGTGCAGGCTCACTAGCTTGCCAACTTATGTCTTGTGTGGCATGATGCCTATAGACTCTCAGTGAATTCCTGCACAAGCATTTCACGTTTGCTAAAGAGGTCATGAAGTGTTGGGTATGTGTCTCTCAGGAAAGCCCCAGAGAAGAGCACCTGCAGCTCTCTGGAAATTTCTGGGAAGACCAGATGGTCATGCCCACATGCTTTCCTGCTCGCGGCAATAGAAAGCACTGATGGCATGGTGTTTCTCTTTCCCGTTGCAGGCCCTACCAGTGTGGTCACTGCTCCCAGTCTTTCTCCCAACCTTCAGAGCTGAGGAACCACGTAGTTACGCATTCCAGCGACAGACCTTTCAAGTGTGGCTACTGTGGTCGTGCTTTTGCTGGTGCCACAACCCTCAACAACCACATCCGGACACACACTGGAGAAAAGCCCTTCAAGTAAGTACCTGAAGCCAGCAGCCTCTGCCAGCTGAGATTAGAGAGGGACATGCATCACTGCTATTCACTAGCATCACCGGTCCATAGCGGCACCAGGCAGACGTTCCCTTGAAAGCCAAGGTCAGACCACCAGATAAATCCATCAGTGGTGTGGCTAAAATCAGAATCAAACCAGGCATGTTTCTGGGTGCCTTTCAAGACCTGAGCAATTTTCTGTCCTCTAATGAGAACTTGTTTTGATTAAATGACAAGCTGCTGCCAGAGAACCATAGCTGAAAATACACCCCAGACTGGGACAGGCTATGCTGTAAGAAAATTAATATGATTCTTTGATGTCTATATGCTGAGGTAGGTGGAGCTTCACATAAAAGCTAATTTGGATCTGATTAAATATGGGGGAAAAATAAGCGGTTTTTTTTAGTCTCAGAATCACTGCACAGAAAATGCAACTCTGGCTTGTGGCATAAGTTTGGTAAGATCATAACAATAAATTGATAGTGTTCAGCTGTCCAAGATATAAGAAAAAAAAACCAAGTCACATGGTCAAGATGTTTTTTAATTAAACAGACTCTGCTTATTTCTGCAGTTTCTGTTTACTGAAATTAAAGCCAAACACACACCTGAGTCTCAGAAAGTTTTCCTCTATACTTACGTCCAGCTATAGCACAGCTGACGCAGGCAGATTTTACTTTCTGTTGTGCAAGACTCCGCCTACCTAACAGGAGGTGTTCTCCAAGACAGAATACAAATTTTCTGTATTTGTGTCTGTATCTTTGCTGAACTGACAGGCCCAAATTTTATGGATATTGTACCTGGAGCAATCCCACTTTGGAAGAAAAATACTGTATTGATATCAATGTATAAGGTATTGATATCACTTCTTTCGGAATCTACCTGAAGTTTCTAGGGGGAATGGGAGTAAGTGTGGAAGAAGGTGTGTGTCTCTCCCAATTCTCCAAGGACTGACTGTCCTCTGTCTTCTTTTCTCCATTTGTCTTTCTTTTCTACTTTTGCTGTACTGTGCTCTTGGTCTGGTTAATGTAAGAGAGCTCAGCCATGGGGCCTGTCAGAACCCCTCATAACAAGCTGGGTAGAGATACCAGTAGAGATGCTTTGCCTCCATATATGGTTGAAAGGAAGCATGGCCTCCATACATGTCTCTGCTGGGGGCAAGGGGACAGAGCCAGGAACCAAATAGTGCATATCCCGTAGAGAAGCGCTTACATACCAGAAATCATGGCTAGGATAGTGTTGTAGGTGGCAAAGGAGGGAAACGCAGAACATCTAAACATTGACTCCTCTAGAGTCGGTCTGTTGAATGCTCAGAGCCCATACAAAGTGAGCCAAAAATAGTGTGAGCAATCAGATTGATTTTATCTAGTTGCTGTGTAAATAGATTTTAGTAATTAATGGAAGAGGTTTCCGGGTCAAAATGGTAAATAGATTTCTTTTAATGTTAAGGTGTTACTTATGTGTAACCTTGTTGACTCCACTTAATTTTTTTCCTTAACATCCTGTTTTTGTCATGTTTCCAATAGATCTGCTATTTTGCCCCATTTAGAGTCATTATTTTTCCCCTTTGGTTTAGTAATTTTTTTCCCCTTTTCCAAAATGGTCTTGACTACAGCACAATTTCATTTGTGAAATGGCTTAATGTATATACTACAGTTATCCAGTGGCCTGGGATTTGTTTGTTTGTTTCGCCCTGCTTATGCTGAAGTATTTAATTATCCCAGGATGTATCTGGCTATTCTTAAAGGTGCAGAGCAGACCAACAAAAAACGTGGATGCTTTGTACTGCTTCTTTATGGTGTACGGCATAACTTCATTTTTACAAGTTTTTTCTTTAGTTTCTTCCTTAAACTCAAGAAAGAGTAGTACCAATTCCTCTCTGGAGGACTTGTTGGAGTATTTTCAGTAAGCTGACTAGTGATTCACACGATGCTAAAACTGGAGCTGCAGATCTTCCCATCCCTGCTGGTCAGATAAGGGGACATATACGCCCTGGTCCTGCAAGCTGTTCAAAAGGGCAGATTTGCCTCCGATGCAGGATTGCCTGCACTTGAGAGAGGAGGGGCAGAAAACTTATCCAGAAATTGATCCACCCACTCTGCTGGAAGAAAAAAGAGATAGCTGCAGCTCATCTTGATGTCTCATCACCATTTAGACTGTCCTTTGAAAAGGAGGGGGCCAAGACCTGGTATTAAGCAAGCTGAGACAAAAACCTCAACAGATTCTAGTAAACAAGAACCATAAATGGGACAAACAAGAACAATAAATGTGACACACAAGATTTCTGTCTCATGATCACGCAATTTAGGTTTTAAACGTTTGTTTGCAAAGGGATTTTGAGTGCAGGCCTACCAGAAAATATGAAAAATGGAAAAGTCTTTTGAGATAGGGTTTCTGTACCTCAAAAAAGTCTATATTTGTGGTAATAGACATAATTCTGTTGAAAAATAATTTTACTATTGGCAAGAACAACCATGTGTGGATACTGCTAAATTACTTGACTTTTGGCTGTTATTTTTAAAATAACAGGCATAATTTTAAAGTTATTACTAAGTTCAATTTCATAGATGAAAATGGGTAGTCAACTGGACAGTTAACTTGCATCTAAACTTGCATCTACAGTGAATGCAATCTCAGTATTTCTAATGCAGTAAGGCAGTTATGTTTGTAAGCAGTATTTGGACCAATTACACTGTTCACGAACTAAGCAGACAATGTCAAGCATGTCAAACACTCAGTGTATGTTTGTATGCACATTATTTTCAGAAGGTGGCTTTAAAAACGGTTAACATAGGGTGACATTATTTTAAAATATTTCAAATTAATTGTTATTTAAGTGGAAGTCTGTGACTGGTTAAAAAGCTTTTTGTGTGAGAAGAAACTTTCTTTGTAGGTCTTAGGTAACTTTGGATGTATGGTGGAAGACTTTTCTATTTGCTTTTCATTACAGATAACAATGCTAAGTGAGGTTATCTGTAGTCAAAGCTTTAGCTGCATTGCCTGGACTGCAGGTCCAGTTAGAAGGGATTTCTTTTCATGTCATCACAAGCTATCAAGTCAGCCTCACCACTGCAAAGTTTTTGTGTATTCTTATCTTACTGAAGTCTCCACTATGGCTGCTAGTCTGGGAACAAAGCTCTTAAGTAAATTAAAAGGTAGGAGAAAAAGGAAAATTATTGGCCATCCCCATTTTCTTAAATTATCCCCCCTGGTCTCTTCCATTTCAGCACAATTAAAGAATAGCTAAAGGACTTGCCTACAGAATCAGGGTTATGCAAATATCTAATATTCAGGACTTAACCAAAAGAACTACAGGAAGTTTCAATTTCAAATAAATTTTAGATTGGGATAACCCAGGTGTTTTTCATTGTTTATTACTGAAATGAAAAACTGGGGAACATTCATTTCAGGTTGAATATAGATATTGTGGCTGCAGTGACATCTCAGCTGTGTCCTGGTTTTTGTTGGATTTTTTTTTTTCCCAAATGAGTTTAAAATTCAGTGTTAAATGTAGTTCTTGAATGAACTCTTAAAATGTTTATTTTGAAAATATCAAATTAAGATTTTTTTTTTCCTAAAATAGACGCTCAGCATTTTCTTCACCAAAAACCTTTCACAGAGGTTAACATAAGCTTGGGAATTAAGCCAATCCTGTCTGTAATCCTCAATGTCAATGTTTTGAAAACACTGTGAAGCAAACAAGCAAACCAGTGACAATGAGGGCTATCTAACCAAACTCAGAAAGCCCGGTACCTTAGAAATACCCAAAACACATTGATGTTTGTGTTGTTTGTGAATTTAAGAACCATTTTGTTTACCTGCCCACCCAAGCAAATTACATAGGGAAACCTTGTGGTAGAATGAAGTCTTGTGTTTGATGAGGTTGAAAGTTGTAGTATAACATCGCTCCTTACAATTAAAATGAAGGTGCATACACTTTGTAAAAAAAGATAATGTGGATGCAGTTTTCACTGATGGCATCTAATTTTGTGAGGACTTTTAAATTGCTTTTTTTGATTTACATTGTGTCAGGGGCTGTTTAAATTACTCTCAAATGCCATCAGAAGCCTTAAGTGGAAATTAGGTGGTCTCTCAGTTAATAAGTATTGTTGCCAATACCTGTATCTACACTTGAGGCTTCACCAAAGATTTGGTGTATGTCTAAAGCCAGGCTTGGGCTCAGCCCTGTGATTACTTTGTGCGTGGTCGCAGAAGAGGTAGACTTTTTCTCCTTTCTGACTGTTTTGTCTACTATTCAGCCTTCCAACATAACATTAAAGGTGTGTGGCTTGTAGCAGAGAAACATGCACACATGCTCACCAGTCTCATAGTCACGGATCATTGCAGTGGTCATTCTGCTACGACAAGTTGGGAAAGGGTGGTTGATAGAAGGAAGAGTACATCATAATTCAAAAGGAAAATATTCCTGCTTTTCCTCCCATTCCTGCCTTCTGTGAGATAGTTATGCTGACAGCTAGGATACTATTATCCTCACCTTTCCTATCCGTTTGTATCCAGCAACAACTTCTCTGAAGCACACTGAAAAGAGGAGTCAGGGGCTTAATGCCTGTACGCCAGGTACTTATATATCCAAAACATTAGTCCTGAAAACACCATCCACACCATTTGCAAGTGCCTAGAAAATACCAGGCGCCTTGGGTACTATCTGAAGGTTACCTGGGTACATGAAAGAGCCTGGGGAATTAGGTGCCTTGCCAAAGGCTTTATTCTGACTTTTGTGTAAGGGCTGTATAGTGCAGACAGCACAGCCTGACCAGCAGCAACACTTGGCACCCATGTCCCTCCTGTCCAAAGGGCAGATGCTTGTAGCAAGAGATTTATTCTTTTCTGGTCTCTCTTTGGCATCCTTCTTTCCTGTACCTGTATGGAAGTGACCCAGAACAGCCTGTAGCCGGGCAGTTAGAGCACTCCCATGGCAAAAGAAGCTTGTGCATAAAGAATAGGAACTTGCATTTTAAAGGAATACAGGAAGCCTTGCTCTATGCTTTCAAGAGTAATGCAAGGCGCTGAGTGAATGCAGTCCCTAGCTCTGGCCTCCCAGGCAAGGTCTAGAAAGGACAAGGAGGTCTGCCACAGCTTCATGTCCAGTGGTTTTAATGAGTAACTCCGTCTTTTGATCACCTTAAAGCCTTTCTCTGATTCACATACAGCCCCTCGACATCCTGATATAGTATGTTTCATTTATTTGGCCAGGCACTTAGAAGTCGGGTGTTGCCACACATGATTTTGTAGGTTATTTTGCAACTGTACCACTAACAGCTTGGTTAGGCAAGGCTCCAAGCCTCCTATTACTCAGCA